GAAGACGTATGTATGATGGTCTTGCATATGCATAATGTGCTCCCATCAACGAAGTCTTGAAAAATTGCATAGAAAAGTTTGTATATTTTTAAAATGCAGCAATCGGACTGAGCTGTAAAATATGGGTTTTCGATTTCGTTTGCATAAACTTATACTATATATTCAGGAATGTTTGTTTAAACCAATTTAAAAATGTTAGCTGTGCCGATACATTTTTTGTTAGAGGCTTGTAAAATATCAAAGCAGTATCAGAGTTGCCAACAACAACTGTTAAAGCTGGTGGAAACCACGAGAATATCTATACAGAGAAGTCCTGCAAATGATGATTCTAGTTTGCTTAAAAAATGTACCGCAAGCCAACTGATGCAAAGCAGGGAGAAGTAAAAGAACGCGGTGGCTCTGACCAAGGTAAGTATGTATTTAACATTCTTTCCCCAATGACTGTACACTCGAAATTACAACTGACAAACGTACTTAGATCTGTGCGAGCAGAAGAAATAAATGCAAAGTTGAAGATCCCAAAATCAGGATTGCTCATGCCTGCATGTTCGATCCAACAGTTCGCATGCCAATCTCCTCCTAAAAATAAAGATGTTGAAGGAGCCGGAGTGTCGGACCGAGTTTAATCGCTTGTATCATTCGCGAGAGTTACTGCGTTGGATGAGATGCATTCAGATACCGGAGAAGGATTGCTGTGCAGCGCACGAAGAGACTTTCATGATAGTTTTCTTTTTCGAAGACCACAGCCGAGTCGAAAGGCAACTCAAAGTTGGAAGAAATTCTTAGTTCGATGAGATAAACATTTGAAGGATGGTGTAATAAAAACAAAATGCTTTAATCAGTTTTCCCGAGCGTGGCTGACCAAAACAATAACTGAGATGACAGAATCCGGAAACCACAAATGTTTCCTAAAAGATTTGCTTGGATACTGTAAATACCTGCATGACCTGTCAGTTTCCAGAATACTGAATACAAACCAATGATACATACATATATGTGCTCATGCACCAAAGAAGGCCCGATTTCCAGCAATGGAGAAGGCTTGTTTCCTGTGGTGGGCATTGCAGCTGGCACGGAGTTTGGCTAAGAAAATGGTAAGCGGTATTTAATGGATTTATATTTTATAGCCGTGACTGAAATCATATTTACTCACATAAAACTGCTGGACCTGTCAAATTATTGATAGTCAAGTCCATCGATAGTTTTACGATAGTCTTGAGGGTGACTATCGATAGTATCGACCCAATTCGCCTTTCGGAAATAAAAAACTTTCTTTCGAAAGACACTTTACATGCATGGTGCCACTGCTCATGAAACTTGGTTCTGAAATTTCTTAATTTCACAGTCTTTTGAAATATACTGCATTGACCCGCCTGACATGCTCTTAAGACGGCAATGTAGCCTCTGCTATTTCCACGCTTAAAAGTACCCTGCGGCCAAAAGTACTAGTACTTAACATATAACCTATGGGTCTTGGTCCCGGTTCATATATATGAAAACGACCAGCAACTTTACCATGAAACTGTCATTCGTGGTGATCGATTGCCACCATACCTATAGAGACATTTGGGGCAGAACTTTTAAAATCTGACATAACGAAATTCAAAATCTGCGTGTGATTCTTGCTTATTTTAATCTCGCTGGCTTCGTACTTTTGCTGTTAAGCAGGTTTCTTTCGGCTAAAGTAACGATTGTCGAATATAAACCAAAAGAGGAGTTACTACCTCCGTGCATCACCAGGAGTGCGTCTAGCAATAGCATAATTTGTTTCTATCTACTGACGCGGTGGGATAAATTTGCCTGAAGGGAACTCTTAAAAGGCCATACAGTGTGCCTGTAAAAGTGCTTCTATATCTAAGAAGGGATGAGCTACTTAGTGCGGAGCATAATCCATGGTGATGACGTATAGTCTCCATTGGAATCACAGCATTTTCTCTGCAGCTGTATGGCCTCCGTCAGGCGGAGACGGCGCAATTATCGGTACTGAAAATATTTTATTCTACTGTCAGCTGTCAACAGAAAGTTTATTATGGTGGTTTAAATGATTATAAAGAAGATAAAATTTCCACTGTTCGAGTGCCTTCCATTACACAATGCCAAACAAAGATTTATAACTGGTCTCATCTACCTGTCATATTGTCAGTATTTTCCTACATTGTAAGAATATTTACAGAGGCTAAAGTTCTTAACTAGTACTGAATTGAATAGTTCTTACTTACATACACACATATGTATGTCTGAATACTTTTGCACGTATTTTAATATCTGTGTACGAATGGTTGTATGTGCATATTTTATGTATGCTGTTATTTATTTATAAATATTATAGCAATTTAAAGATCACGGCTGCAATTAAACAGAATTTTATGAGCGTCTATTAAATTGGCTACAAGTGCACAGCTAAAATGAATCGTAAGTAATCGTTCAAGAAAAAAATATAACTCAAGTTGAATGGCAGCTTAAACGTATTTATTTAATTTATCTGCTTATAAGCTTTTTATAAACTCCTAGAAGCAATTAAATACAAATGCGAAAATACGTTTTTTTTTATCTGTAATCATACATGGATATACGTGTATATGCATTAATCTAAATAACTTGCTTTTATATGTTAGTATTATGTGGAGAAAACGTGCTTGGGCTTCACTGTTATGTATAAGGCAATTTTATCGATCAGATATGGACTTTGAACAGCAGGTAAGTAGAGATAAGACGTTCACACGCATGCTTCTCATATTTTATGTCATTCCTTAGTAACCAAAATGATTGCGAATAAATGTTTTATGGTGTAGGATCGTTTTTTATTGGTAAGCACGTACCATTGAGTGACTAGTTATATTTAATCCTTACTCATACGTCCTCGTTTCCCTACGCGGGGCAAGACCAGTTCGGCTTAAGCGTCTTCTGAATTATTCAGCATCCGGCCACCAGTACCCAATGGCTAAATTTCGGTACCGTTTTTGAGCTCGTGATCGATCCCTGCTAGCTTATTTAGAAATAGTGTTGCCACACATGGTATTTTCCTACCAAATTTGGTAGGTTGTTTTCCAACCAAAACTGGTAGGTGGGCTAGTTTGGATTTTAGTAGGTTCCGCCAGGTTATAGAAGTTAATTTAAATCGAACTGAACTACAATGTTGTACTGAAGACTGGAGCCCTGAAAAAGGCTTGTCAATAAACCCACTGAAGTCCACCATTGTGCCATTTACCAGAAGAAGGAAAGTCAACTTGACTAGACCAAGCTTGACAGGGACAGAAATTAAATTCTCCGAATAGGCGATGTATTTAGGGATAACTCTGCACAAAGGCTCAATTGGAACCAGGCATTTTATGCCTGTTATAAACTTTGTGGTAAGACTTGGGGAATATTACTCGATACGCGTTATAACATATGCGGCACTGCCCTGATGACCAAAAGGTAAGCAAGTAAACGAGGGTCCCATCTTAAGCAAGCTGCAACGACTGGTCTGCATTGCCATCAAATGATCTTTGCACACCTGTCGAACGGATGCCCATTACAGGCATTCCTTCTTACTGGGTAGAAAGTTTTTCCTATACCAAGTGTTAGGTATAATTTTCGCAACAAATTAGCCGCTCTTGTACTGACTCTCTCTTAGCAGGTTGTGAACCCTTTTATCGGAACGGACTCGTATACTACGTACTATATGTACATTAGGTGGTAGATATCGCATATAGTTTTTGGTCCCGGTTGGAGAAGATCAAGGCGTGTCACACAGGGGAAAAGTATAGACTCCTTTATAGAGTCTCGAAAAACTAAAATTATTATTTTTTTCATCTAATACCCAAAATCAATCTACCATAGTCGAAGAAATCACGTATAAAGTTTGGTCCTGATTCGGGTCGGTTATGGCCGGTCGCAAAGGGGTCAAAAGCCAAATGCCTCTATGGACTCAAAAATTAAAAATATCTTTTTTCATTTAATACCAGAAATCAATCCTGCTACAGTCGAGTATATCACATATAAATTTTGGTCCCGATTGGAGTCGGTTAAGACGTCTTCACAAGGTAATCAGAAATGTGACCCCTGTGCGACATGTTTTAACCGACTTAAATTGCAGTTTTACGCCAACTCCGAACGAACAAAATACACTCGCCGGTTTGACATTGCCTGTCGAGGGCCGTCAGCTATTAGAAAAAAACTTTATTTTTGTGTTTTTTTTTTGGATATTAGGTCGAACCGGGCTTCAACCCAAACCCTGCGGAGCGGTAGCGCGCACTGCTAACTACTCCAAAACAGCGGCAACTATGAATTTAATAATAAAAAAAATAAATCCATTAGGGTGCTTCATCAAAAAGGTTGCGATTTTCCACCGGAATTATAAATTTTTTTTTTAAGACTTCCGCCAAAATATATCGGAAAAATATTGAGATTTATGTGAACTGGGCCGATTTGAAAATACCTCAAAAAAATCTCCATATTTTAATTTCGTTGAAGCAATTTCGTTTTAAACAATTTTATGCAGGTTTTCCCAGCTTAAACGATTGGAAAAAAATTTATTAAAAATAAATTTATTAAAAAAAAAATACTCGATTTTCGGACCTATTTTTAGATCGGTCCAGCGCAAGTCTTAAAATATTATAGATTTTATAATTCCAGTGGAAAAACAGTATCTATCGTAATTTTTTTGTATGGAGAGTGATGCACCCTAATATACATACATATGCATTTTTGTTTGAACGATGCAGCATAAAATCACTTAAAAAACTTTTAAAATTTTGCTAATAAAAGTCGACTGAAGGGGAATGTCTGCCCAAGGGAGGTTTTGCTCTATACGCAACTTTCATAATTTACAATTCTATCATTTCTTTGACACAATGAAGACAACTTTATTTTAATTCCATCTTTTCATACAGATGCCCTCCACTTGAAGATGCCGAAATTCAAAGAATGTCACTACCTTTGCATTGAACGAGCACACAATTCTCTCATTTTGCATACTTTTCACATCACACCGTCACACCCACTTGACCTCAACTTACCGGTTATTTTTCTCGATGAGATTCAAAGCACAATCATCGCGTTCCATTTCGAATAGTCCACACGTTCAAGTAGCACGAAAACTGCACTTCACAAAAAAAAAACAAAAACAAAAAAAACGCGCACTTTAAACAAATGTCTTAGATGTTGCGATTATGAATTGAAAAAAAAAAAATTTAATTGCAACTTGCAAGAGTATTTGGCAAAGTCTCGCTTGGGAGGGGTCAATAACTCAGACGAAGAACAAAATGTACGACGAGTAACATACAAAGATGCCAATGGGCCCCACAGCGAACACACGACGACGGCGACGAGCAAGGTCTTTGCTGGCGTGGGCAAGCAGCAGTGAAAAATGCGCCGATGTTAGTTCAGAGAAAAGCGCATACGAGCTCGTAACTGTGTGTATGTAAATGAATGCAATTTGCACAACCCGAGGAGCAGCAGCGGTGTGCAGTGCGGTGTGCAGTGCGGTGTGCAGTGCGGTGTGAAGAAAAATTGTAAGTAAAACTTGTTTGTTAGCTAAATGTGCAACTTATCGTATGCGGTCATGCAACAAGTGGCAAGTACCGTCCGTCGTTTTGATAGTTAGCAAAACAGGCTATGTTGAGAAATATTTACTCGTATGTAGGTGAAAAAAGTTGGAAAACTAATTTCTTATATGGCTAATTATTACGTAGTGTATTTTTCACATTTTTCCTTTTTTATTTATTTAGCGTTAGCGCCGAATGTACATACAACTCGTTTTATTTCACTTCTATGCTTTTGTTTTTCTTCTATCTTTTTAATGTAATCATATATGTATACATAAAAGCACGGAAAAAACGCGAAAAATGTACCTACGCTGAAAAACTATTGGCTTAGCACACCGCACCAACTCGGGAAACTGACGCCGACCGACTGAAATTGCAATTCGATGGAAATCGTGCAATGAGCGCAAGTAAGTCTGCATAATGCACTTTCCTCTGACAATGGCCGATGCTTGTATGTATGTATGTATGTCTGTGTTTGCGGCATTTTGAGTCAACTTTTGTTGTTTGGATTACGATAGAAGCTTAGTTGGAAAATTTTAAAAGTGAATACAGAGAAGTGAGATAAAATGGAAGTGGGGCGATTTGGAATGGCAGAAAAGTAAAAAAAAAAAAACAAGTAAGAAAGTCTAAGTTCGGGCAGAGCCGAACATTAAATACCCGGCGCAAGTATTAAATATATATTTTCCACCTTGCCGAAAGCTACCGCTGCATGATAAGCCGGGGTGTATAAATTTTAAGTAAATTAGCGTTCTTAAATTTCGAAATATTGAAATTTCAAGCATTTGTGAAATTTACCGTTATATGAAAAGCGGCCGTAATTTTAGTCCGATTTCAATACTTTTCGGCGTTTTGCTTTTATGTGGCAAGCACAATAACCGCACCGAGTTTGGTTCAAATTGGTAGAACGGTTAGCGAGATACATATTTGTGATCATAAGTGGGCGGTGCCACGCCCATTTTCCAAAATTGTATCATAAGCGTATTTCTTGGTAAAAAATTGTTGCAACCATCAATTTTGAATAAATTAGCTTTAATATTTACTGATTTATCGAGGATTTCGTATTTTTCTAAATTACCGTTATATGGGATGTGGGCGTGGTTATTGTGCGATTTTAAAAATTTTCGGCAATTTGGTATGCTGTATCAGAAAATTGGTGTAGCGGTTACCAAGATATACACATGTAACCATAAGTGGGCGTGGCTACGCCACTTTTCTTCTCATTTGATAAGTATATTAAAGGTTTGTTTATGTTTTTTCATATCAATTATTTAAAGGTGTTCCAATTCACTTATTATATATACACAAAGATGAAGTGATGAAATAAATATTCGTATGTAAATTGCTTATAATGAAATGAGTACGCATTATGGATTTCAACGAGATTGTAACATAAATACGGATTTTCTAAACAACATTTCATGACTCCGACGCTACTACTTACTAGCGGGTTATCTAGAAGATCACTAAATTTACATAAAAATCAAATAAAATATAGTAAAACTGCGTATTTAGCTTTCCTCTCCGACGTCAGGATTTTTCGAAAAACGACTTTCAAACTTCATAAGTGTTACTATTTACCTCAAAAAATTATTTAAAAAGTTCAGTGTTAAAGTCAGTATTAAATCTTTTTGGTGCATATGGCTATGGGAAATGTTCTTGTTAAAATTTTGTCTTTGAATATAATTTGAAACTTGGCTATACCCATTTAGTTTTGAAAAATTTTGTGCTAAGCGTCTTAGAATTTCGTAATCCAAACTTTATTTGCGTGAAAGAATGAAATTAAATAAAAGCACATTTTCAGTACTATTCGTCCTTATGCACCAAAAGATTTAAATGTTTTTTTAATTCTAAAGAATGTTCGCTGTTATATGATACACCCATTTTTCTGAAATGTTTAAGACATTTTTTGAATTAATCACATTTTTGAATTTTTAAAGGCCTTTTAGAAAAATCATGAGAAACTAAAAACGCGGTTTTACTATATATGACCCATAGTTTCAAGTGTTTTTTTTTGTTTTTTTTTCGCACGGTGTTTTATGGAAAAGAAACAAATTTAAGTGTTTATTTGATTGATATACAAATATACATTTTTATTAACAAATTAAAATTTTTATTTACAAATAAAAATTTTTATCTATGTAGTCGTTAGCATAATACAAGTTAATATCTCGGAAGACTAGTTCCGCCCTTTAAAAGTAATCTAAATTCACGGCCCCTTGGAATAGGAGGATAAGTGAAGCTGTTAAATTTTACATTATTAATGAACTTCAGTTCATTTAAAATTTTACTTACCTTCTGGATTTGTGTGTTGGTTCACGATAAAACGTTAGCGGGGGGGATAAGTCATCGAACACTCGTCAATATGTATCAATGTTACATTGATAAAGAACATATGTATACACTTTTTACATAGGTTATTCATGAAATACAACCGTGGTAGACAACGGCTTTTGGTATGTATATACATGCAGCTAGGTACATTATTTCAACACGAGCTTGTGCAGTAAAAGTTCTGTTGCACCAAAAAAATATATATGCGGTTTACATTTACGTTTCAGAATTTGCGGCATTCACCTTAACCACTACATGCCACCACAATGTCGACGGTCTAGCTGCAATGCAGTTGAAAATGTCTAGGGAGTGGCTTTATAGAATAAAGAAAAATCTGTGAAATCAAGCTTCTTGGTGCCGGCCAGTGTGACCGCTGAAAATTTTTCGAAAGTCGCAAAACAAGTGCCAGCCAAAAGAAAGTGTACATTAGACCACGTCAAAAAAAAAGAACGAAACAAAAAATTCTGCAATGTAACCGGAATAAGATTCAAATTTTAGCATTTGGTATAGAAATAATGTCTAAATGCACAGTTTCCATATGCGGAATCTCGGTGCCCCACACACACATATACAGACTTTCATTATTTTACTTTTCGAAACTTATTATTGTCAAAAAAGGTGCACCCAATATTCTAGTCGACTTTATTTCATCTAAGAGTATGTATGCCCCATTACTTTTAATAAGCTGCTATTGGAGATTATAATTTTCTGTTAAAAATATTTTTTTCTCTCGAAATTAAAAGGGTGCATTAATTCAAGCTATTTCTGGACATTTTAGTGGAAAAAATTTTATGAAAAAATTTTCAAAATGTGTATATAGAATTTGTTATCAACGAAAAAGGGCAAAAGTCGCATGATTATTAAGAAAAGTTTCAAAATAAGCCTTATTTAAAAAAACTCGTTGTCAGGCGGCATGGATCTCCAAAAACTGTTAATTTGACACTTTAGTCACACAACGGTAACACTGCTGCCTGCTATGTATGTGCGAACAATGCAAAATCTCTGGAGAATAAATATAATTTACACAAAAAATGAATGCGCAAAGCAATGGCTAAAATAAAGTTAACCACAATTGGAGATTAAAAGACCACGCCAGTAATGCCCAGTAAATGTAAAAAAAAAAAAACAAGAAAATTGTAAACAAACATATTCAACAGAAAAGGTAATGCATCCGAGCACTCAACAAGCTTCTCAGTTTTAAGGGAAAACTTTGCTTTTACTTTTTGCAGCAATTATTTTTCTTTGTTAAGTAGTTGATGAAAAGCTCGTAAGGTGTACGCATTTACTGCTTTTGTTTTCGGCTAGAGCAGCATGCATTTCATTTGCTTTTGGGCGGTGCAAATATTTTTGCAGTTGCTGTTTGTTTAATTTGTTTTTCTTTTTTAATTATTGCATCTGGTACGTATTTACATTAGGGTGGTAAAAAATTGCATGTGAAAAAGTAAAGTCGGAATTTTAATGCTTTCGCCTCCTAGGAGAGTCCTATATCGAAAATAACTTTAGCGCTGCTTTTTTATTTTGAAATAAAAAAAAATATTTAGAGGTCGCTCAATCGAAAAATTTAGATTTTCAAGAATTCTATACCATTTCAACGAAAGCTTGTTTTTTTCCCATATAAAATACATGGAAAAATTTGAGCGCTTTCAGCGACCTCTCAATATTTTTTGATTTCAGAAAAATAGGATGGGTATACGTTTTTTCGGTATATAAAAATCCAAGCGGGTGAGTGAGTTAAAATTCCGACTTTACTTTTTTTTGGACCACCTTAGGGTTAATATATATGTACATCGATATTCAACTATATATTACTTTACTATCCAATGGCGTGTGCTTTTCTCGAGAAAAAAATCAGCTTCTTATATGGCAACATTATCAGAATGCAACATTTTAAAGAAAGCCCACGCAATATGCTTTTGAAGATGCCGAGAAAAGAGCATGAAAACTTAACAACAGACTTGGAGTAGGGCAGAATAAATGCAACATTATTTCGAGGATATAAAACGCTATAAATACACAACAACTTAAATATCTTGGCTCGCTATTGTATGAATGAAAATGGGATTTGAAAACTTATGTGAGTGGGGTTAAATGTAAGATCGGATACAGAACGTCTTCTTTGGTCATGGAGCGAAGGCCTTTTTGCAAGTGAAAAGTTCCGCTGCGGCTTTCTTAATGCATTCAATTTTGTTACCATTTCAGAGAGCAGCTTGCTGTTGCTGGCCGCATACATACATACATACGTCTGTATTTAGTTAACTTTTTCGCACTGCACGAATTGCTTATAAAAAGCTTGCTTTATAAAAGCTTCACTTTTAAAAGCTACATTATATGCAGCACATAAAATAGGTAGCGTAAATTTGTGCCGAAACAACGAACACAGGGCGTATGAGTGATAAAAAAAAAAACGCATGTGTATGGAATTGATTGGGAGATTTTATTCAACTCGTACTTTACTTTAACTTTAATAGATAATGAAAGAGGAAATACTCTATTCTAAGCTC